TGCTGAGGATTATATTGGACCTAAGAGAGATAAATTACCAGGAGGCTGGAGAAACTTGCATAATGAGGAACTTCGTAGGTTGTACTTACCACCAAATGTAATTAGACAGATTAAGTCAAGGAGGATGAGATTGTCAGGGCATGTAGCTCGCATTGGAGAGAAGAGGTTTTGGTGGGCAAACCAGCATCAAGACCATTGAGACATGCAACTCACAAGGGATCCGCCCCAAGCCTTCGTATACTTTTCTTTTCCTTCACTTCATAGAACCTCCTCTGGAAGAGAAAGTTGATTATGGTTTGGTTAAGATAATGAATAACTAAGGATTTCCCTGTGAAGACAGAAGACGAATCTCGCTGTTTTCAGGCTTACCGTCAGTTTATGAGATGCGTCTCTCTTGGTATGCGCGTTGTGCCAGGGAGATGCCTTGAATCTATGTTACCCGCAAAACACGCGCCCTTTGGGCCCTGTGATTTTGTGTTCAAACAACACACTTAAGGCAATGCCTATTTGCTTGTGTTCATGATGAATCTGCCTAAATTCTTAGGTTGTGAATTGTGGTATTTAGGTTGTGACGGTGTTTAGTGTTATAAGGTGGGTTACCGACTTTTGAAAGACGTGTCGCCTACATCTTCGGGGGGAAAGAGGTGATACATTACATCGCGAAAACATTAGTGAGCACCTACAAGACCAAAACCCACAATTTTATCGCCATGAAAGCCTCAGATATCGATTCTGAAGTTTGACGAAGCTGTTCCTAATGCAGAGATGGTATAACGCCGAATAAGATGAGAGTCTGATCAAGAAAAGTGAAGGGGTAAAGACATGGAAATAGGATGTCGTGTCCTGTTTCCAGGATCTATGTTCGAATTCGCCCGAAGCCACAGAAAACTTTAGTTGGGTAGGCAGTAACCCGGCAGAAATTTGAAACTCATAAGGAAACGCAAGTAAGGTATGTTCTTACAGATAGCAGATTAGCAGTGAACGTGTAATGTCGAGATTATGACCACACGCACATTTATATAGCATATCACTTCCATAAATCTCATACAATTTACTTTGCGGAAAGGCAACACTAAAAATTACCGGCCGAATTTCCTGGAGGTCATTAAAACGCTGCGTTGTAGTATGTATTGATTGCGTACAGAAGTTTCGTAGGAAAAAAACCAGTACTTCATAAAGATGGTCAACATTCGTTTCGGAATTTTAACGGTTATTTATGGATATGCGAATACAAATGTTCTAGATGCAGTATATGGTTGCTTTTTATGTCAAAGGTTTGTAAGTGCAGTAAGTGAATTTCAAAACTTCATTCTCACACTTGTCAGAGCCGGTTTGGTATCTGATGCAGTAACAGCGCTTTTAAATGTTTCATTTGGCGACAAATATAATACGAAGTAACGAGTAATTGCTTGTCAAAACAATCCAATAAGTACCCTGAATATCTTCTCAAAATGATGAAAGAGTTTCATCAAACTAAAATTATATTAAATGAGAAAGTTGAAGGGAAAGTCTCTTGCTATTAGAAAACATGTTTTACAGTTTCACAATAAAGAGTGCGCTATGTGAATTTCGTTGTTTTTAATAACAGAAAGAGAGAAGGATATTTCCTTGTACCGAGACCACATAGTATCTTCATTGTACTACATGGGTCGACGTACAAACTATCTTAGTACGTGTTAGCTACTTTCCTAACTCTCTGTCAGTAAAACCCAAAAGGCCAAACTTCTAACACAATTCTGAACCAGTTACTCAGAAACTTATTTACCTATTATCTGATTGGTACCCCATCTCATTCTTGGTCTTCTAAGTGGCTGGTTTCTAGGAGTCTCCCACAGAAATTCTGCATACACTCTTTACACCCCACAACACAGCTACATCATAATCTTCCGCATTTATCAATAATTTAATAATAAGCTTATCAGGTGGCCTGTATAAATCACGAAGTTCCTCCTTGGTTTCACGCCTGTTCAATCCGTTTTAATTCCAGATATATCATTGAGCACTTTGTTTTCGAATGTATGTAATTTTTCCCCTCAAAATAAAACATTGTGCAATAAGTCATACAGATATACAAAATAGTCCCCATAAGGATTGTGACAAAGGAGGACGTAACATGAACTCTGTCCTTGACGTGGTGTGACGGCGTGGGTGACCAGGGTGACAGTGGCGAGGCAGAATCCGTGATGGGGCAATGAGTGTCGATGAAGATGCGCTACGTATAGAGTATGGGACTCGATTACATTCAGACAGGACGTGTGTCGCAAAACCCGTGGAAGACACATCGAGAACCTATGGCCCATGCATTTGTTAATAATTTCTGCAGTATTGTTCCCGTTTATAAATTAACATTATCGGTATGTACCAACACCAGTTGCGAGGCAGTCCGTTTGTCCAGTTCCAACAGTGATGGTCATTTCATTTCGGTGTCGGCAGGTCAAGAAACATGGACCCTTCGTGACCCCAGGTGACCTCAGCGGGCTGGAGAATGCGGGTTGTAGCGAGAGGATACGTGTTTGTAGGACGATGTGTCTTCATTTGCTCTGGCTGCTGATTACGACTTGCAGAAACGAAACCAGGTTAATTCAGACTTTCCGAGGAAGCGACAGGTAACGGAGGTACCCGTATGAAATCAGCCAGCCGTACTACCGCGTTAGCATCTCGCCTCTCGTGTTCCTGCTTTTAAAATGTCCGGCGAGAGTCAGGAGTATGTCTACACATATTATTCAGGTTCGTCCTTTGAGAATTTGCATATGCTACTGTTTTTAATGCCCCTTCATTACAGATATATATTTGTTCTTTCAAACATGACACTACAGATGCATCTGCACAGAGTCGTGAATAATTTTTTCTTGCATGTAATAAAATATTTACAGTAAGAAATAATGTTTCGAATATAAATTTTATGTCTTAATGAGATGTACATTATGTTACTGTTATGTCCGTAATAAAGTCGATGAGAAATCATAAAATCAGTGGTTGTATTTGACCGATAATAACCAAAATAGCATTCTCCTGCCAAGCTGTACATCTTCATTGCCGAATGTAATGAAAATCAGATCAGAAACTTCGAAAACAAAACATTCAAACGCACTGAAACGATCTTGCGAGATTTCAAGTTCTCGCAGAGGTGAAGGTATCGAAGTTGTAGTGGGTTGTTACACCATGTGAACCTGTAGGTAAACATCAACGTTTCGTAGGAAAATACTGCCTTCACCTTCAGCCCTGAAGAATGAGGCAGTACTTTTATAAGAAACGTTAGTATCCACCTACAACCCAGGTGACCAACGTTAACGCGATCTTGCCTCGCGCAGATTAGCAGTGAACGTGTAATGTCGAGATTATGACCACACGCACATTTATGTAGCATATCACTTCCATAAATCTCATACAATTTACTTTGCGGAAAGGCAACACTAAAAATTACCGGCCGAATTTCCTGGAGGTCATTAAAACGCTGCGTTGTAGTGGTTAAGATTTCTGTTTTTTATTAGGGAGCTCCCAGGTTCAAATCCCAAATCGGCCCTAAGACTGGTTATACTGACTGAAACGTTTCGCTGTATCGCTATATTCCTGAGTTTTTCTAAGTAAATGCTGGGATAATACTGTAAAATATACCACAACTTCTTCGCCTGATTTGCAACTTGGCATACACATTCATCCAGACGTTCGGCTGTTATGTAAACTATACCTTCAGCTTTGCATGGAAAGCAGCTCGAATTTTATCAGATATTTTATATGTATTGATTGCGTACATGGAAAAAAACACGTATTTCATAAAGATGGCCAACATTCGTTTCAGAATTTTAACGGTTATTAATGGATATGCGAATAAAAATGTTCTAGATGCAGTATATAGTTGCTTTTTATGCCAAAGGTTTGTAAGTGCAGTAAGCGAATTTCAAAACTTCATTCTCACACTTGTCAGAGCCGGTTTGGTATCTGATGCAGTAACAGCGCTTTTAAATGTTTCATTTGGCGACAAATATAATACGAAGTAACGAGTAATTGCTTGTCAAAACAATCCAATAAGTACCCTGAATATCTTCTCAAAATGATGAAAGAGTTTCATCAAACTAAAATTATATTAAATGAGAAAGTTGAAGGGAAAGTCTCTTGCTATTAGAAAACATGTTTTACAGTTTCACAATAAAGAGTGCGCTATGTGAATTTCGTTGTTTTTAATAACAGAAAGAGAGAAGGATATTTCCTTGTACCGAGACCACATAGTATCTTCATTGTACTACATGGGTCGACGTACAAACTATCTTAGTACGTGTTAGCTACTTTCCTAACTCTCTGTCAGTAAAACCCAAAAGGCCAAACTTCTAACACAATTCTGAACCAGTTACTCAGAAACTTATTTACCTATTATCTGATTGGTACCCCATCTCATTCTTGGTCTTCTAAGTGGCTGGTTTCTAGGAGTCTCCCACAGAAATTCTGCATACACTCTTTACACCCCACAACACAGCTACATCATAATCTTCCGCATTTATCAATAATTTAATAATAAGCTTATCAGGTGGCCTGTATAAATCACGAAGTTCCTCCTTGGTTTCACGCCTGTTCAATCCGTTTTAATTCCAGATATATCATTGAGCACTTTGTTTTCGAATGTATGTAATTTTTCCCCTCAAAATAAAACATTGTGCAATAAGTCATACAGATATACAAAATAGTCCCCATAAGGATTGTGACAAAGGAGGACGTAACATGAACTCTGTCCTTGACGTGGTGTGACGGCGTGGGTGACCAGGGTGACAGTGGCGAGGCAGAATCCGTGATGGGGCAATGAGTGTCGATGAAGATGCGCTACGTATAGAGTATGGGACTCGATTACATTCAGACAGGACGTGTGTCGCAAAACCCGTGGAAGACACATCGAGAACCTATGGCCCATGCATTTGTTAATAATTTCTGCAGTATTGTTCCCGTTTATAAATTAACATTATCGGTATGTACCAACACCAGTTGCGAGGCAGTCCGTTTGTCCAGTTCCAACAGTGATGGTCATTTCATTTCGGTGTCGGCAGGTCAAGAAACATGGACCCTTCGTGACCCCAGGTGACCTCAGCGGGCTGGAGAATGCGGGTTGTAGCGAGAGGATACGTGTTTGTAGGACGATGTGTCTTCATTTGCTCTGGCTGCTGATTACGACTTGCAGAAACGAAACCAGGTTAATTCAGACTTTCCGAGGAAGCGACAGGTAACGGAGGTACCCGTATGAAATCAGCCAGCCGTACTACCGCGTTAGCATCTCGCCTCTCGTGTTCCTGCTTTTAAAATGTCCGGCGAGAGTCAGGAGTATGTCTACACATATTATTCAGGTTCGTCCTTTGAGAATTTGCATATGCTACTGTTTTTAATGCCCCTTCATTACAGATATATATTTGTTCTTTCAAACATGACACTACAGATGCATCTGCACAGAGTCGTGAATAATTTTTTCTTGCATGTAATAAAATATTTACAGTAAGAAATAATGTTTCGAATATAAATTTTATGTCTTAATGAGATGTACATTATGTTACTGTTATGTCCGTAATAAAGTCGATGAGAAATCATAAAATCAGTGGTTGTATTTGACCGATAATAACCAAAATAGCATTCTCCTGCCAAGCTGTACATCTTCATTGCCGAATGTAATGAAAATCAGATCAGAAACTTCGAAAACAAAACATTCAAACGCACTGAAACGATCTTGCGAGATTTCAAGTTCTCGCAGAGGTGAAGGTATCGAAGTTGTAGTGGGTTGTTACACCATGTGAACCTGTAGGTAAACATCAACGTTTCGTAGGAAAATACTGCCTTCACCTTCAGCCCTGAAGAATGAGGCAGTACTTTTATAAGAAACGTTAGTATCCACCTACAACCCAGGTGACCAACGTTAACGCGATCTTGCCTCGCACACAAGAGTGGAAATATTTTCTCCGTTTAGAAGTGTGACATTTTTCATATGTACAGCATTGACACATTTACCTGCTCACCATTCATGATCATCTTCCCGTAACATTATGTACTTGAAGGAGCGTAATAAGTAACCTAGTCAACATTCGCTACCATATTCATATTTAATCGGACACTATACATCCTATTAGTTGAAATAGTAATAAAATGGCTTCGTGAATTTTATCATTGTCTTTCCATATCTTCTGGCGCTATATATTCTCTGTAGTTATGATGGTCTCATTAACGAACCTAACAATCAATCATGCAGGCATAGTGACGCCAAAATAAGGAAAGTAGCTCATTGTTAAGGACTGGTGCCACCATTGTACCAACATGATGGCTGGCTTCCTCAGTAAGAAGGTCCGTAGTAGTTCCTCTCCATTATACTGCATATTTTTGTTCCACTTACAAACTGAACCTTTCTAATTTCATACACATTTGAGATCATCCACTAATGTATGACGATTGTCTGCCGTTAACTTTAAAATGAAGCATACAATAACACTTCCTGTGTGAACTGCCTTACAATAGCTACGCCATTTCACGGCGACGTAGTATTAGATTGCATGGAAAAGGCGTTCCTCCTCGATCGATCCTCTGGTGCTTAAAGGCGCAGGCCTGCAGACGTCCGAAAGAACAGCTCGGACTTCGATGTAGGTTAACTCCATTCTGTTTGTTTACTCATAAGGACTTTACGATTAAATAACAATAACATCTGAAGGCGCTTGTTATTATTCAGTTCGGCAACTGTTACGATCTCGTCTAATTTCCAGTACAATGAAACTCAGGGTAGACAATTTTGTCACATACGTTTAATGGGTGTGAAACGTGGGCTCATACGTTGAGGGAAGATTATAAGTGTCGATGTTGGCATTCTGAGTAGTAACACTGTGTAGACTTGTACAAAGATAGCAACAATTCGGAAAAAAGCACACTGTTTCATGAGCAGTAACACTGTGTGGACTTGTACAAAGATAGTAACAATTCGGAAAAAAGCACACTGTTTCCATCTTCAGGATTTCATTGTTTCCTTGAAATGTCGGTATCTACCTACGAGTCTACACAGTATCACAACCCAAAAGAACAGCATCGTCTCCCTCACCGCGATGAAAATGTCAAATATCATCTCTTGGAACATGGTTACTTGAAAGACCGAAAATGAGATGGTTGAACAACATTAAGATGGACCTTAAAAATAATACATTCTCAGGATGGGAGGTGGATGAACTGGCTGTGAAAAGTGTACAGTGACGGAATTTTGATGGTATCGTGTTTGTAACTTTGGGGTTCTGATACCAGAGTGTTAGATTATGTTCTGAACATTCTCCTCCAGAAGGTCTCTGGTTCGCTCTGCAGGTTTTTCGTATCTCACATGCTTTCTTAGGGTATCTTTAATTTCTCTTCATGTAGGTCCTGTATACGCCGAACTATTTGGACTGTGGACCTTCTTTAGGCCTAGTAACTTTTTAAGTTGTCGCATCGGAAAGAATTCTGAATGTTTGTTTCCTTAATATATGAGTTCTAATCTTGTAATCATTCTTAGATATATATTTTTTAGGAATAAATTTGGCTTAGATTCTCAATTATGGATATACAGAACTGACACAGAAATGTAAATTGGCCGTTTCTCTGGCATGTCTACTTCGTTTCTGACGGGAAGTCAGCAGTACTAAATGGCCTATAATTAGCGTCATTTCATTGTTTCGCAAACTTACTTATGTGGTGCATAGTCAAATTTATCTGCTGATTAACAAACAGTACATATAGGCCATATCTGAAGTACAAGTGGAGAAATGTCTCTCAGTTTATAATACTCGTATTCTGCAAACGCGTCCTTCACAGTTTAGTGACCCTTATTGATTTTGGCGTGTGTCTATTGTAAATACAAATCTACTGCTGACTGATATTAAACTGCATATAAGACAAAATGCTATTGTTGACGCAGACAACAAGGCTGGGACGGTGCAGTCTGTGCAAGAATACATTGTTTCTATATACGTTCTTGGTGATCTGTATGTTCCTAGCCGACATAAAAATATACCATAACATACATATACGACGCAAGCTTTACCATGTGTGTGTCGTCCATATAAGCATAGTTATATATTACAGGCGATATAAAAACATAAGCGTATGTTTCCAACATAATATTTATTCATGAACTTATTTTTTTAGAAAAAGAAACCGGGGCGAATTGCAGACAAGTTCACTTACTTTTTTTTATTATCTTTACTGTTATCACTAAAATGTACGAATATATGTTTAAAATGGTTTTATTCTCTACTGATTTATTTAACGGAAACATTTTTGAGAGATTGGAATCGCTTTGACTTTGTTTCTGTACATATTAGAGACTAATAAATAAATATAATGCGTAGAATAAGATACGTATATGTTGAAATGCCTCTTCATTTCTTAATTTTTAAAAGAGTTTTTATACAAGATTACGCTAACTTTGATTTCTAACTTTACAAGTAATGTTTTAATATCGTCTTTAAGTACTGTAAATTAATAACGACGTAGAACTGGATCCACCGATTATGGCCGCTGACCTTGTAGGGAGTGCCCAGTATGTGGACCACTCAATGAAGGAAGGAAGGAGTTTTCGTCGGTCAGTACAGTCTGTGTCAGTGCAGCAGTGTGGAAGCCTGATAATTGTTGTCTTGGGATTGTGCTGTGTTAACAACATGCCACCTGTTTGTTGCAAACTCCTTTCTGGTCATTGATAACGCCTCGTATCACAACACTCAGACAAACCACCGACGTCTTAACCAAAGAAGGACGAAATGAAAGTCTGTCTATTGGAAAGAAACATTCCATTTAGTGACAACGTGTTGAAAGCTCAACTGTACGATTTAATCATATTAAATAAGTCAAAGCACAAATATTATGTGAATGATCAGATTCTAGTAGACAAAGAACGTACTGTGCTAAGACTTCCGCCGTACTATCCAGATTTAAACCCCATTGAACTTATTTGGGTAGATGTAAAACAATGGGTTGCAAGCAAGAACACAACATTTAAAATTGAGGACGTCGAGTATCTGTGTCGCCAGAGATTCGAAGAAATTGGGCAAGAGGAATGGGATAGTTTATGTCAACATGTGCAAAAACCAGAACAAATTTATTACGAGCAAGAAGGCATAATCTAAGATGCTATTAAACGTATTATTATTGAAGATAATGGAGTGAATAGCAGCAGCGGTAGTGATGAATAGAGTGATATGTCAGAAAGCGATGGTCTGTGAGGAGTGGAAGAATTGAAAGAGGACCTAAGAGTTGTGAAGAAGATAAAATTATCTAATACTCTGCAGTGTTGATTTTCTAGTGATGTGTAGTGTTGTGAAATCGACTTTTCTGTGTTACATACCGTGGTGATATTTTATTTGGAGTTTACTGTACGCTGCCTGCTGCCATCCCTTCCAGCAAACTTCTGGTAAGTGACTCGCTCCGAGGTTCCAATTCACAATGTTCAGCGGCCAAAAAGCTCTAGAACGCAGTATGCATTGTCGTAAGTTAGCTCCGTGGTAGCGTAGTGGATACGTTCGCCGGTGGTCATGGGATTGCGTACTTGTCGAGTAAAATTGTTTCATGCAGCCCCCATGTTGCTATTTTACACTTTGCAAAGAATTGCTGTACCATATACCATTTAATCCCCCGGACTATGAAGCGTCGAATGATATTACAATTAACGATTAATGAACTAGAAAGAACGTTGAAGGAAAGCGGTCGTCACTTCATGAATGGGTGGCACTACTACCCGGTATTTGCCTGCAGGGACCAAATGAAAACCTCGAAATGCCTTCGTTATGGTAGCCAGTCTCTAGGCCAAAATTTGAACCCGGAACCTTCAGACATGCCAACCACTCGACAGCAATGTTAAGTGGTATTATGGCAGTCAAGACCCCATTATTAACATCTAGCTGCTTTTCCAAAACTAGCACAGACGTCGCGAATGTAGAACAAACTTCATTCAAATTCGTAAATACCGTGTCATTATTAATACCGACATGACGGCCATGAAAATTGAAATATGATAGAAGAAACTCTTTCGCTGTATCACGGAAAGTTGTTAGGTTAGGTTTCAGAATGGAAATATCGAGAGCATTCGATGTGTAATTCACTGAGCCATGAGGTGTCATTTCTTAAGGCGACAGTTATTTGCTTACAGGTATGTTACTTTACGACACACAAAGTGCTTCGACTCTGTTTCAAATTCACGGAATTATTAAACACTAATCACTTTCTCTTCCGCGACAACAGAAACTTTCTCGACAAAAGTCGTCATTGTCTATATTGCTATCTATTCTATGAAAAGAGACTCGTGGTAATCTTGAATTGTTTCGATTATGGAGTGTAGTTATGCAATTGTACGGCT